TAGAAGGGACAACCAGAAGCACTAAACCCTGATGTAAAACCTTCCGTCTTATGTGAGAGGAAACGGGTGCGACAAAGCCGTTCCACTTTTTGGCTATGGCTTAAAATGAACACCCGGAAAGGTGACTGATCAATTTTTGTTCTACAGCAACAAAATGCTTTTAGGCTTTGCACTGACAGTTAGATAGACTACTCAAAATTAATTAAATTTTTATGGCTAACGTTTCAAGCCACAAGCAATGAAGTCATACGTTTGACCTGCAATACTTACTGTAATAGTACCCCATCCCCATAATGACGGTACGGAGCGTTGCGTAGTCTAGCTTTGAACGAGTTTTTCTCGACACTGGTTTAAGCTACAATGCGCGCTTAGGTATCAAAAAAATAGCCCTGAATTTCAGCTATTTTTTGATACAAAAGACGTATTTTTTGAAAGTACGGGTGCTTTGAAAAAAATGAAATACTAAAAAACCTTTGCAACTACGCGACTGTACGAGGGAGGTGGGGTATTATTACAGTATTTACGGTACTTGACCTTGTCAAGTCAATATTTTAGTTCAGAGATTTGAATTTACGCTAAAAAGTACAATTCCAAAGTTCAATCCTTAAAATCTCTCCCTCTTTCTGATCACCAAAGTTCAATTATCGATAAATTAGTAATTTTTAGCTAGTAAGCTATTTTTTGATACCAAAGACGCATTTTTTGAAACGTACGGGTTGCTTGAAAGTACGCTTTGCAAAAAATGAAATACTAAAAAACTTTTGCGACTACGCGCCTGTAATAGTACCCCTGTAATAAATACTGTAATAGTACCCCACCCCCATAATGACGGTGCGGAGTGTTGCGTAGTCTAGCTTTGAACGAGTTTTTCTCGACACTGGTTTATGCTACAATTAGCGCTTAGGTATCAAAAAATAGCCCTGAATTTCAGCTATTTTTTGATACAAAAGACGTATTTTTTGAAAGTACGGGTGCTTTGAAAAAAATGAAATACGAAAAAACTTTTGCGACTACGCGACTGTACGAGGGGGGTGGGGTACTATAACAGTATTTACGATATGTAGTATATGGGTAGCACAGATAACGTCAAGAATCCACTAGAGCTTCAAGATCAAGATCATCTAAAGATAAGGTTTCGAGACTATTGGACTCTCTCAAAACTCTTGGGGGTGTCGATTCCAAATTCTGGTAGTTCTTATTGGAAAAGAGTTACCGTATTTTCTGTAATAGTAGTGCAGGCAGGAGGGGGGTTGAAAAAATAGTAGTGCGCACTACTATTACAGAAAATACGGTATACACAAACTAATTGGAGGTGACTGGAATTTCTAAAACGAAAGAACCTCTCCTTGAACTAAATACTAAAAAACTTTTGCGACTACGCGACTGTACGAGGGAGTTGGAGTGCTATTACAGTATTTACGGTAGGTTCAACAGCTGGTTCTCAATTTCCATTAGATTTCAAAATGTATGCCAATTTTGATGAGGTAATTAAAAGGAACAAATGATGGTGGGTGTAATCGAGAAGGAAAGGGATGGGGCAAGGGTTGTTCAAGTGTCCGTTCAATCTCCTTTGTCCCTCTCATTTCACTACAAAGTGTCGACGAGAGCCCGGCTAAGTGAGCTGTGTGACATCGTAATCGGCTCGGATTTCATCGAGCTTTTCGAATCGAGGAAATTTGTGATGTTATAGGAAACTTTGAGATACGGGTACTTAGATGAGATTTGAAGTTCTTAACAAATTCACGACCGATTACGGAAATCATATTCGGCCAATGGTTGAACGAAAAACGCTAAAAATTTGCAAAGATATTTAATTTGACTTTTAAGGATCGAACTTTAGAATTTACCAAAACTGTCTTCAGTATACTGAACACTTTAAATATAAACTTTTAAACCCAGTAGAACCGTAGAGCAAATCAAATCCAGATCTTAGTCTATTAGCTCAAATCGCAGTGATGGCAGCTTTGGCAACTTTTCAACGCCTTTATCCTGCGCCACTCTCGATCTTTTAACTAATTTATTGATAATTGAACTTTGGTGATCAGAAAGAGGGAGAGATTTTAAGGATTGAACTTTGGAATTTACCAAAACTGTCTTCAGTATACTGAACGCTTTAAATGAAAACTTTTAAACCCAGTAGAATAGTAGAGCAAACCTAATCCAGATCTTAGTCTGCAAAGATATTTAATTTGACTCCCTCTATCCGAATTCGTCACTTGTTTTGCGTACGTAGACCGATAAGATCGGATAAATGGAATTGTCGCGAATATGTTAAGGATTTACTAATATTACCAACTGGATCCAGGTCCTAGGAAAGGACTTTTGACCCAAGTCACACCAAGATCAGATTAGATTAGATCCCAGCCAGAAGCCAGCGACCAAGTCTATAGTAAACCGAAGCCAGGTTTGCCAAAACTGTCTTCAGCATACTGAACGCTTTAAATGAAAACTTTTAAACCCAGTAGAATAGTAGAGCAAATCAAATCCAGATCTTAGTCTATTAGCTCAAATCGCAGTGATGAGTTGAAAAGCTTTGGCAGCTTTTCAACACCTATATCCTGCCCCACTCTTGATCTAATTTGCCAACAAAAATAAATATTTGAATCAAGCAAATGCGGCGGGAAATCAACGAAAAGCTGAAAGAGAAAGAGAAAGAAAATAAATCTGCGAAAAGAAGTGTCAACACCCGATATTCGGGAGGGTAAAAGAAAAGGTTTTGATGGCAGATCTCCGTAAGCAAATCCCCGTTTTTTGTCGGATTGCCACGTGGGTGAGAGGCGGAATTCTAACTAGACTTTCACGTTTAGTCAGAGATTTCGGAAGTGATTTTAAACAATGAAAAGACAGCTTTTAGTTCGGAAACTGTGAAGGTAATGAAGAATTCAGAAAATTTGTGAGCAAAGCTTTTGGATAAAAGAAATTCGATAAAAGTTACTGTAAATCTATATACAAAATCTTGGAAATTTTAAAAACAGAAATGTTTCTTTATAAGATTGCTTTATAAGATAGCTTTCTAGGCAGAATTAGATGAAAGCCAAGAATTAGATGAATTAGAGAATTAGATGAACAATTAGATGATTCTAACTAGCCAAAGATGACTAGCATTAGATGATTCTAACTAGCCAAAGTCAAACCAATCCTTGCTTGGCTTTCAAAACATGATTGTTGCTTATTGCTAACTTGGCTTGACTTTTTAAGGAAAACTTTACTTGCAAGAATCTTTCAAAGCTTTATATGATTCAATTCTTATTTACAATCAGATTCTAGACATGAAAAATGCTTAATCTCAGCAATCATATATGAATTGAGCAATTTCCAGCATTAAGCATTCTCAGCAATTTCCAAATTGAGCAATTTCACTCAAAATGTGATGTTTATGTAGACATGGGGATGTTTAAAATAGCAAAAAAAAAAGACTGGGAAAGACTGGGAAAAACTTGTTGATCTTCAATTGGTGTTCGGGAAAATAACAGTCACAATTTATCAATTGTAAGTTTAAATTTGGAAAATTTCGTTAGAAATCGAGGAATCGAGCCTTGAAATGCAAATTTCGGGAAAAGGAAATGAGGAAAATTGTGAAGGAAAGGGCTGGAAGGGGGGCTCATTATCAAAGCTCTGATTGGGGAGAACAGGGTCAAGAAAGGGAAAAGAACACAATAAATTGAATATTGAACAAGCAACGACTCTAAGCAATCCAGGAGAATTTGGAATTTTAGCAAGAACGACTTCTTGATTGTTCAACAACTTTTGGATGTTTTCAATTTAAGAAAAAGCAAAGTATTACCGTATTTCTTCGAATAGAAGACCGGGTAAAGAGTATGATCGCGTACTCCTGCGTAGCAGCCCTTTTTAAAATTTCTTTTCTGCATAAAAGCTTTCAATGAAGTGCTATAGAGCTGGAAAATGACTCAAAAATACCACATGAGCTAACAGATTTTTGAGTCATTTTCCAGCCCTATAGCACTTCATTGAAAGCTTTTATGCAGAAAAGAAATTTTAAAAAGGGCTGCTACGCAGGAGTACGCGATCATACTCTTTACCCGGTCTTCTATTCGAAAAAATATGATTTGATTTGCAACTTTGACTTAAGAAATGTTGAAATTGGAATTGAAGTGGGAGAAATGAGGAAAATCCGGTCTTTTTTCAGAGAGTTCTCTCCTCCACATCCATTCATGTTTTTCATGTCAGAAAATGACCTTGTCTTGTTTTTCTTTCCTTTCAAAAGTAAGAAATAGCCATACCCAGAAATTCTATTTGTTCCGCTTATAGAAAAAAGTTGAGAAAAGACATGGTTTTTGGAGGAATTCGTTGCAAGAATTCTATCTTTTTTTGATTTTTATTTTAAATTTTCTTAAGCTGAACATAGCTTGATTCATAGATGTTTTAGAATAGCACAATGTGGTATAATTTTCTAGATAAGTTTCTAGGTAACTTTCTAGGTAACTTTCTAGGTAACTTTCTAGGTAACTTTCTAGGTAACTTTCTAGGTAACTTTCTAGGTAAGTTTCTAGGTAAATTTCTAGTTAGATCTTAATCCATGGACACACCTTGTACTACTTGTACTATGAGACACGAATGATCTATTCAGCTACCGGAATTCCGGGTTCTTTCTCTGTTTTTTGATGATTTTCTTTTAAATCGGCTTTTCTGAGCAAAGATTTCAAGAATTTTTTTTCTACTGATATCAGTTTTTTGGGAGTGGCTTCTGATTTTTAAAAGAAAATTATCTGTTTTGAAAAGATTAACGTAAAGAAAGGAATCTTTGTTTAAAAAAGTGATAAACTAGTGCTTTTAAGTTTAAAAATCACTTGGAAATAGAAAAAAAATGAGTAAAAGACTCAGCGACAAGGTCACTCAACTCAACAAAAGTCAAGTCAATGTCGGAGACGATTTACAATGAGAGTTGACGAAAATTACCCAATACTTCACTGGAGTTCATCAAATTTTCCCTTTGAGAGACTATGGTTCTTAAAAAATCTTATATTTATATGAAAATTGACCTTGACTTCGAGGTAATGGACTCTCTGTGCGAACCGAGATTTTCGTGACGTTGTCGGGAGTGATCTGAAAAGTTTTCATGTGGAAGCATTGTTTAGATTCTAGATAACTAGATGAGTACTGGTCAACTGGGACCAAGTATTATTAAATTATGATCAAGAATAGAAGTATACGTAATTAAGTTATCGTTATCGTTATCGTCAAAGTCAGATCTAGATAGGTCAACTTTAATATCAATAGTTAAGTAAAACAAAAAGATTACTCTTAATAGCAACTGTTAGAAAATGAAAAAAAAGTGCATAAGAAAAACAAATAGTGAACCTGGTAGTGTGAGAGCGGTAATTGTTGGTGGTGATGGGACAGTTGAGGCGGTTTAGAGCTTGGATTGGAGGATCGTGGTTTTGGAGGAGCTGGATGGACTTTAACCGGCTGTTTCACTGCTGACGTTTTGACTGGTTGCGTTGGAATCATTGTTGTTTTCTGCACAGGGATCACTTTCATCAATGGATCGACTTGTTGATGCGAGTGTGATGGTTGATCGTATGTTTGGATTGTCGTGTGAATTGTGTGTCCAAACGGTGGTCCACCGGCAATTGTATTGGGGTGAGTGTGCTGAATCGCTCAAATTAAACAAAAAAAAAGGGTTAAAACAGAAGAGTTATTAGTCTAAAAAGTGTGAAAATCTTCTGACAATCATTAGAAATTTTTGCATCTTGTTTCGTCAATGAAATTGAATTTAAAGCTTTTCTTTAAAGCTCAGCTACTTGGCAGCTTTTCTTTAAAGCTTTCTTTAAAGCTTTCTTTAAAGCTTTCTTTAAAGCTTAGCTACTTCAAAAAATCGTGAGTAGTAGTAGAAAGTAGCAAAATCCAAAACAAGGGTAAAATATTCAAAACTTTAAAACACGTATGCAAATTTTGATTGAATTTCTTTTACCTCATGTGTTGATAGATCTTGATTCGGCTCCTCAAACAACTTTTTGTCTCTTGTCGCATTAAAACGCGAAAGTAAGCGTTGCATTTCCTCTTTTCCAGAGATATCTAAAACATTTACTATATATAGATTCATCTATTCTTAAATATTCAGCTAAAAGGCTCAAGAAAAAAAATTTATTTGCCGTTTCTTTACTCTTCTGTTTCAAATGCCGTATTCTCTATAATAGTAGTGGATCCCGGCGAGCCGAGTTGATCACCATTTTACAGTTTCTAAGTTTTCACAGAAGCTCAACACTCAAATCCCCCACAAGATCTCATCGTCAGCTACATTTTCCAACCCCACATCGATAGATTCTGATAAGCAGTTCTCAAGATTTCGAGGAATTTAGGCGACGTTCTGGGTGCACTACTACTAGAGAAAATACGGTATATGAAAAGCAGTTTTATTGGCAGGATACTTGTAACTAGGATTTTATAATATCTATTAGAATTATACTGTATTCTCTCTAATAGTAGTGCACCCCAGCGAGCCGAGTTGATGACTATTTTACGGTTTCCAAGTTTTCACAGAAGCTCAACACTCAAATCCCCCACAAGATCTCATCGTCAGCTACATTTTCCGACCCCACATCGATAGGTTCTGATAAGCGGTTCTCGAGATTTCGAGGAATTTAGACGAAGCTTTGGGTACACTACTACTAGAGAGAAGACGATATATTATTCCAGGTTAGGCTAGTAGATCAGACTGATCTATTTCCCTAATATTGCCTGGTGAGCCGAGTTGATGACTATTTTACGGTTCCAAAGTTTTCGCAGAAGCTCAACACTTAAATCCCCCACTAGATCTCATCGTCAGCTACATTTTCCGACCCCACATCGATAGGTTCTGATAAGCGGTTCTCGAGATTTCGAGGAATTTAGGCAAAGCTTACGGTCCACTACTATTAGAGAAAATAGGGTATGCAGTTTTTAACACATTCGCCACTATACAGCCCACTTTTCTACACTACTATTAAAGAAAATACGGTATATAGATCCATCTATTCTTAAATATTCAGCTAAAAGGCTCAAGAAAAAACCATTGCTATTGCTGGTTGGAAGAATCTTCGGTCCATTGTAGGTGGGTGGCAGTGAGCGAGAGCGGTTGGTGAACTGGAAATAGGTAGATTTGGTTATTTTAAAACTTACATAATAAAATCTTTTACTAGAGCCAATATTAGTTATATTTTTATTCAGATCACATAATTTTCTGAATAAAAGTACAACTAATTTTGGCTTTATTAATAACTTTAACTAACCACAGGCGGTTTAGGCTCTTCAGGTGGTGGACTTGCATCAGCCGCTGGGACAATTGTTGTCGCTGACGGGGAGAACATGGCTGGTCTACAAATTGATATTAGAAAAAGATTCATAGATATGATTAGATTAATTAATTGCAACTATTATATTACCTATCATCTCTGGCTGAATCCGGATCAGGTGGTGAAATGAAGATCTCCCGACTCTTCTCTTTTTCCTCTTTTCTCGACCTACTCGAGCTCTTCTTCTCCATTCCCATTGTTGTCTGTTTTGGGTTCTCTTCTCGATATTCAACCTTTGTTGTCTCTACTCTATAATCAGAAGTTGGTCGATGAAGTGTGTGTGAAAGATGGAGAGTTGTTGGTGGTTGAACAGCGGAGATTGATGGTGGATGGACTGTGTGAGAAGAGATCACTCTCGCTCCACTGCTCACTTCCGGAATCACAGGAGCTGGTCGACGGGTGGACGGCATCAAGGCTGAACGAAAGAGATTACCATATTCACTCTAATAGATTCTAATAGCCCTTCTATTTTTCAATAATCAATTTTTTCGATAATCTTACTTTACAAGTTCTTAGATAGCATTTAGATTCTTAAAATTGATCACGGTCAGGCATGGCTCTACTCAGAAAATCCCCAGGCCACCTTAGGCTAAGCATTGAAGAAGTGAAGATCCTTCACTCACTGCTCTTTAGGCTAACCCTTACACTAACCGATGAGAATCAATGCCAAGTAACTGGCTACAGTAATTCTTCATTTTCAAACCAGCTACTACATTCTTGTCTTAACAAAAACCATTCTCACTTGGGCTAAGCAGTCTCTCGTGTATCCCCTCCGTTGTCGCACTTCTCACCATCGTCCTTCCACTCCGATCTTCACTCACTGCTCTTTGCGTGCTCCCAGGTTGAGCTCGATTCAACACTTCCAATACCTAAAGCAGAAGATATAGCTAGTTTATAAACTAGTAAACCTATAGTTTATTGTGCTAAACCTGTCAAAGCATGCAAAACAAAGGAATCATGCAATGAAAAAGGGATAACACAAACCCAAAGCTGATCATTTTGTGGCTGGGAGAGGCGAAGACGCGGTGGATAAAAGGATTTCCCCAAGACTGCCTTCTAAAACAAACAACAACAAAGAAATAAGGAAAAGCAAGCAACAAAAGTCATAAACAAGACTTTCATAGGTACAACAAAGGGAAAAACAGGATCTAAAGATCTCTGAACTCACTTCCGAAGCCACATCCATCGATCTTGGTCGTTGTGTGATCGGTTTCTCTCTCAATACGTGAGCATCTCGTGGTTGATAAGATTTCTGAGGCTCTGGACTGATAATTCCTCGAGATGAGGTGATATTTGGTGAATTAGTGATGATCATCGGTGGAGAAGTGATACGATGAAGTCTTCTCTCATCAATTGTTGGCTCTGGGCATGGACTTGTGAGTGTTGAATGAGGGATTGAGACTGGAGACATTAGTGATGGAGAGTAGGAACGCTCGGCGGATTGGGATCGAATCACAGGCAGAGTGGCGGGAGTCTGAAAGAGAAAGTACAAAGATCACTTGACTACATTTACTTTGAGCTCAAGAAACACAGCGTTTCTGGCTCACTAATCCTTTGAATCTCGTAGTTTCTGGGCAAATGCACCAGAACAAGTGCGCATTTCTGTGCACAAATTTCAAAGACAAACCAAACCACAAATCACACTAGAGAAATGAATTAAACCTCTTCTTATTCTTTTATTGATTCAACTATTCTTGGTCTTGACTCAATTCTTGAAAATCCCTCTTTTCCTCACCTGATAATTCATCCTATTCTCCCAATTCGTCCTCCCAGCACTCTCCTCGAATCTCAGCCTCAACGAGCTGATCGACGGGAGTTTCTCATCTTGTTCCTCACTTCTAAAACTCATTGATCACTACTTTCTTTCCTCTCGAATCCTTTCCAAACCTCAACACTTGTCTATGTACAATATATCTCTTTCTCGCTTCTCCAGCTGGATCCACACTATTTCCCTTCATCAACGGGATTCGATATGGTTCTTGTTCTTGCAGTGTTGGTTTTTCTACTTCACCCCAATTCCGATCAAGTGTATCGTAAGGTCTAAATGATAGTTTTAGTTATAGTTTTAGTTGATTTCAATTTCAGAATCAAAAATCTTTACCGTTCCCGGTTATTCTCATGAGTTTCCTTGTCCGAGAGGATGTCATCAACGCTAGGACATCGCTTGCATGTCACTTGCGAAGAGACCTATTAAATATTATTATTATATTATTCATAAAATGAATGCAATTATCAAAAACGTATTCATTTTATAGAGAAAAATCGTTTTCGTAACTCACTCGAGCCGTCTTTAAGGCTAAACCAGACAATTTAGTGAATTTTGCGCGCAACTTCTCCACGATTCCCGGACCGTACTCCACTTCTGAAAGGATTTTGATACTTTAAATATAAATGAAGGCTTAGATTGTTTATTACAGCTTTTCGATTAATTTGAATGAATCGAGCCTTGAACCTTTAATCCTTTAAAGTCGTCTCTAGCTGTTCTTTAGATTATTTTGAAATTTTTTCTCCGTTTCTTTACTCTTCTGTTTCAAATGCCGTATTCTCTATAATAGTAGTGGATCCCGGCGAGCCGAGTTGATCACCATTTTACAGTTTCTAAGCTTTCACAGAAGCTCAACACTCAAATCCCCCACTAGATCTGATCGTCAGCTACATTTCCCGACGCCACATCGATAGATTCTGATAAGCGGTTCTCGAGATTTTGAGGAATTTAGGCAATGCTCAGGGTGCACTACTATTAGAGAAAATACGGTATATAAAAAAGCAGTTTTATTGGCAGGATACTTGTAACTAGGATTTTATAATATCTATTAGAATTATACCGTACTTTCTCTAATAGTAGTGCACCCCGGCGAGCCGAGTTGATCACCATTTTACAGTTTCTAAGCTTTCACAGAAGCTCAACACTCAAATCCCCCACTAGATCTGATCGTCAGCTACATTTCCCGACGCCACATCGATAGATTCTGATAAGCAGTTCTCAAGATTTCGAGGAATTTAGGCAAAGCTTACGGTCCACTACTATCCACATCCACAGGATTTTGATACTTTAAATATAAATGAAGGCTTAGATTGTTTATTATAGCTATTCGATTAACATGAATGAATCGAGTTTGAACCTATAATCCTTTAAAGTCGTCTCTAAATGTTCTTTAGATTATTTTTATTTGAAAGAAACCCTTTTACCTTTTACCTCTTTTACTAAATATTCTCAAAACCCAACCTTCCGGTCTCTGATCAAAAAATCTCAAATCCTGAAGTGATGATCGGTGTGAAAGCGGTCGATCATAGGTTTTTGTTCGCCGCAGTTTTCTTGGCATCGTTTGATCGGAAATCGCGTACGGAGTCCCGTGATTCATTGACAATTCCAAATGATCAATCGATCGACATCTCCTCATCGAATCGAATTTTCGAGGCTTCTCGGGTAGAAATGGATCAATCTCGTAAACTTCCATAAACTTTAAAACAGCTCGAATCTTTTGTGGATCCAATCTCTTCAAAATATCCTCTTCTGAAGCTTTTCTTGATCTATAGATCTTTGTTCTTTCATAAGTGGCATCTTCTGGCTTTGGCTTTAAATTCGGAGCACTGAAATTCTCAGAATTATTTCTTGATCTGTAGGGTTTGACATTCTCATCGGTACTCCTTGATCGATAGGCTCTTTTCTCCGGTTGTCCATCTGGATTCCAAGACACATCACCCAATTCCATCGGATAATCAGGCTCTGGCTCGTCCGGTTCATCACTTATTTTGATTTTTCTTTCAGATTGACTTCTCGCAATCCTTCTTTTCAACGTTGAATTGATTTGTGGTTGTTGTTGATAGGAATGTCTTCGTGACATTGAAAGGAATGGATCTTGTGAATGAAAAGATCGCGATGATTGAGGACGAAGTTGATGAGGAATCGGTTTCTCATTTCTGTTGATGATTGCCGAGTCGACATGTTTCTTTAGTTTTGCCGCGAAACTGCCCAGAGCTTGCATCTAAAGGAAGGATGGGATTTGTTAGATTCAAAAGAATGATCAGAAGAGTTGACGAAAGAAATCAATTGGGCCAAGCTGGAAACAATTTCTACAAACTTTTACAAAAGAGTCAACAAGATAAGGACAAAGCTCACCAAAAAAAAAATGGATTCTAGGGAAAATGTGAAGCTGAAAAGACTGTAAAAGCTCTTAAAGCTGCTAAAATTTTAAAGAAATCAAGGGAATTATAAAATTCTTAAACAAATTGGAATGTTTGAGGCAATTCTGGCTGCTGAAAAATAGCTTTAGTAAGCCAAGTATTGATAGATGAATGGATCAACTTCATCTCCAAATCATCAAAATGATTCAGTGAAAGAAATTAAGCGAAATCACATTAGTTGCCAATGAGAAAATGGGGAATGAGAAGAAGAAAGAGAAAGAGAAAAAGAGAGGATAATCAGTCCAATCCATGAGAACAGATTCCCGCTAATGTGAATGGAAAAGAGTGAGGTCAAAAAAAACAGATAAAAGATTAAAGAGATTTCTAGTAAACCTTTTTCTAAACCTAAAATCAGATTCGATGGTTGATATGATCGCTGAAACGATTCACGAAGCAAAACAAAAAACTTCAACCCTGGCTCGATCATATCGAATACAAAATTATCGACTATTCAAAGGTTATTCTATTCGTTTAGGGCTTTATGTGGTGTACTTTGAAATGGAATCACTTGTTTGAAATCACTTTGTAATGGAAATGGAATGGAAATGGAATGGAAATGGAATTTGAAATGGAATCACAATCAAGTATTTAAGAATTGCTGAATAGCTCACCAATAGAAATGATATTTTTATTGGTGAACTATTCAACAACTATTGTTTTTAGGCTAGTTTTCTACAACAAAAGGAATGAACTTGAAATTGAAGCCAGCCGATTGAAAGAAGAAGAAGAAAAGAGAATTCAAGTGGATTTGGAGGAAAGTAAGAGACTGAACGGGAGATCAGCTTAAACAAATAATCATCAACATATGGGAAAGTGAGAACAGATCGGGGAATCGTTTACTGACTTGGAAAACAAACTTTAATCACTCTCAGTTACTACTTACAATACTGACTAGGAGATTAGGACTTTCTGTACTTTGACTAATCATAAAATGATACAATGGCTGATGCGGATGAAGGCGTCAACGTGTAAAGATGTCAAAGGTCGATAGAGATAGAAAAACTCTGGAGACAAGAAGAAAAAGAAGAAAAAAAGAAGAATCCCTTGCACCCATCCAGTAATTTCTTGATGACGCCTTTCTCTTTTGCACAAGAGTTGAGATGAGCGCTGTTTGACAAGCCGTTGACAGGTCGGAGAGGAGATCATCGAGAAGAAGAGAGAAGAGCAATGGTAGAGGGGAATCTCTTGTGGTACCAATTCGACACAATCATTACCTCGAGTTGGTGGGGTTAAGCTGGGATGAGCTGGGATGAGCTGGGGGTTAGAACAATTTCTTCTTCTTCGCTTAACACTAGGCTAGAGTTTTGTTACTTTCAACTGGAAACAGTTTTAGCTCTTCAAGCTTTAGTTTTAGCTCTTCTTCAAGTTCAACATGTAAGGCTTTTCCGAGTGTTAATACCGATAAAGTTAGGGATCAAGAATCTTCAACATTTTAGTTTAAACTCTCAGTTTTTGTTTAGCAATTGAAAATTTAAAAAATAAATGACTAAAATAACAATGAACAGTAAGATATTTTTTTCACTAAATAAACAATAGATTCAAACTCGATTCACATATCTCTAAGAGCTAAGTTTACTTGTAAAAACGAAACTCTAAAAGTAGTGCACTCCACCGAGCCGAGTTGGCGGCTATTTTACGGTTTCCAAGCTTTTGCAGAAGCTCAACACTCAAATCCCCCACTAGATCTGATCGTCAGCTACATTTTCCGACCCCACATCGATAGGTTCTGATAAGCGGTTCTCGAGATTTCGAGGAATTTAGGCGACGCTCTGGGTGCACTACTATTAAAGAAAATACGGTATACAGATTTTCATTTTCAAAAGCTGAAATGACAAACCAGAGTTCGGTCCGTTCGAGGCGCGTTCCTCACGATCCGCTTTTTTAGCGGCTTTAAGTAAATTTGAATTTTGTGGCAGTGGAAGATCGTTTTTCATTTTTTGTTGTTTATTGGCTTTGTGGCTTTGTGGGTCAGCTGATCGTGAGATTTCCCTAAAATTTCGATATAAAATATTAACAAGGAAAGGTTTTGTCTATTTATAATTGTCTGATTTATAATAGATTTTTAGTCTTATTTAGGAAACTATTTCATAAAAGATGACAAAACAGGATGTGCACGAATTTCTCAATATTTCTAGCAGGAGAGTTCTGTGAAAAGCGATGAATCAGCGGGTTTAGAAAGATTTTTGGGAAATTTAGGAGATAAGTTGGTTTATAGAAGATTTAAAAGGAAATAGATTGGTTTTTTTTAAAAATCTTAACCAACCTCAAGTTTGATGCATCATTTTTGCGTTCACTTTGTTGCTTTGAATTATTTGATGGTGGCATTGGACTCGTGCTTTCAGGACGATTCAATTGCACTAAAAAGGAAAAGAACTCAATGATTTTGAAAACTTTTGATGACTAATCAATTTTCTTTTGAAAGTTTTAAGATTAGCAATTGATTTTGAGAAAATTGGGGATAGATTTGAAGAAGAATTTGAAAAAAAAAGCGGAAAAGCTCAGTTCATTTGAAAAAAAAAGGTTAGAAAACAAAGAATTTAAAGGATTTTAGAATGATTTCTTTAACGAACAGAAAAATATTGCCAAATTTTCCTTGTAAAAGATTGAAAATTGGGTTTTATTAATCAATAAAAGCAAATTAAAGCAAAAACGAATCCTCTTTTTTATCCAAATTCTCTTTTGACTCGAGTTTAAGGTCATTTTGAGTCATTCAGAACAAAAAAAAATCATCAACTAACCTCAAAAAGACATAAAAACTCTCGTAAAATGTTCTTTTTCGACATTGAAAAGGTTTTTGAATTGGTAAATGTTGAAATTGGTTACAATTTGAAGAAATGCTAGAGGATAAGTGTTGTGAGCAGGTACAGGAATTTTAAAGTTATTAAAAGTTATTCTATTAAAGTTATTAAAAAACTCATTTTAAAGTCTTCTCTGTCCAATTATGCCAATCATTTTTCTGATTTAAAAGATTTTTATTGATTAGACACGTTTCTTGTTCAAATTTCTGTGATTCACTATTTGTATAGTGGGAAAGAATTTCGGCGGCTCTAATTTTTTATGCAAAAGCGATAAGAAGTTGATGGGGGATTGTTTGAAAAGAAAAGAAAAGGGGTAAGTGAAGTCGAAATTGTAGAGACTGGTTGTTGTGATCTTTTCCCTTTTCTCCAACAAGAGAAGTCGGTAAGAGACTCGGCAAGAGACTCGGTAAGAGACTCGGTAAGAGACTTGGTAAGAGACTCGGTAAGAGATCTAATTTAGCATTTAATTTTTGTTGTGATCTTTTCCCTTTTCTCCAACAAGAGAAGTCGGTAAAAATCTTTTGTTTTCTATTGAATGTTTTCATTTTAACAGTACTTTTTTTGAATAGAAATAGGCTTAAAAGGCTTAAAAGGCTTAAAATTAAATGCTAAATGCTTAAAATTAAGTCCTAAATGCTTAAAATTAAATGCTAAATGCTTAAAATTAAATTAATTAAAGGCTAACTAGTATAAAGGCTTAAAATTTGAGTTCAAAAGTTTTAACAGAATTTGTTCAAATTTTTATGCAAAAGCGATAAGAAGTAGATGAGGGGATTCTTTGAAAAGAAAAGAAAAGGGGTAAGTGAAGTAAAAGAGTAGAAGAAGTAAGAGGTAAGAGAAATTGTAGAGACTGGTTGTTGTGATCTTCCCTTTCTCCAACAAGAGAAATCGGTAAGAGACCTAGGAAATTCTGGGTTTTTAATTGAATATTATAGAAAGAAAATCGTTTAGCTAGCTTTAGCTCAGATTTAACAAGGAAAATCAGATCTGTTTTAAGCAAAAAAAAACACAAATTAATCACGAATCGACAAATGATTTAAAATACTTACAAAGCTGATACTTTTGCCGTAAATTAACTGATCTAAATTGTAAATTTAAGTTCAGAAAAGGTTTTATCAACTGTTTTTAATAGAAATTTCGTTGAATCTCTGAAATAAAATTTAAAAAAAAAATGAAATTAAACACTAGAAATCGAGAATGAAATAAAGAATGAAATAAAGAAGAATTATTTCACAACAACTCTGTAAAAGTTGTTGGTTTGAATGTGAATGTGAATGGGGAGAGAAAGGAAAAGAAATTGTAGAGACTGGTTGTTGTGATCTTTTTCCCTTTTCTCCAACAAATCTAGACCCATTCACACCAGAATTATCCCATTCTCCTGAAGATTTAGTCTACTTTTCAGCCGGTGTTGGATAAAGTGGTTTGGAAGGGAAAATAGCTTTGAATTGACAGTGGCAAAGAGGTAAGTTTTTGGGGTTTAAGTGCACTTTGTGCTCAAAAGGTATCCCTTTTAGCGCATTTAATTCATTATTTATAACAAAATTTGTCCAAGGAAAGACAGGAATTCATAAATTTTCAGCTAAAAATGATGAAAAAATGAGGTCACGTCATTGCTTTCAAAAGTTCTCTGCTTAATTTGAAAAAACAAAAAGAAAAACTGATGAGTAATCATTCGAAATTGAAAAAGATTTCTTTTAAAAATAAGCGTTGGCTGATTTGCAAAGAAAAAAAAAGCGATTTTAAATAAAAATCTTTTGTTTTCTATTGGATGTTTTCATTTTAAAGGGACTTTTTTTGAATAGAAATAGGCTTAAAAGGCTTAAAAGGCTTAAAATTAAATGCTAAATGTTTAAAATGCTTAAAAGCAAATACTAAATGCTTAAAATTAAATGCTAAATGCTTAAAATTAAATTAATTAAATGCTAACTAGTATAAAGGCTTAAGATTTGAAGAAGAATATGAATTTAAAAGAAATTTATATTATGAATAAGGTGGAAAACAAAGGTAAGGTAAGGTAAATCATTGAAAAAAACGCCTTTATACTAGTTTAGCATTTGGATAGTATCAAAACTATAGTCATATGTTGGATAGGAATTGGAGAGGCTGCGTTGGGTCGACTCTCAGCTCTCTGCATACCAAATCACCAAGAATAAGCTAAAGAAGTAAAAGAACTCGATGTACAAAAAAGATCAACTTTATATAAATAGAATTTAAGTATAGAAAGCTTAAAGATTAAATAAGTTTACAAAAAAGACAATTCAATCATTCTTCTTTCTTTTTTTTGGTGTTATAAACTTGAGCTTTTCGTTTGGCGCCATTATTCTGGACTGCCTTTGATAGTAAACACTGCAATCGGGAAAAGAGATAATGAACAAATGAACAAAAAAAAAAAGAAATTCTTCCACATTCTTCAATTTTTAATTTCTAACTGCAAAAAGAATTGTTTTGATCAATGAATAAGTATGTCAAAATGATGGTTCGAATATGGTTCGAATATGGTTCGAATATAGTTCCAATATGGTTCCAATATGGTTCCAATATCGTTCCGATATGGTTCCAATATGGTTCCAATATGGTTCCTATACCGTCCAGATACGGTTCCAATATGGTTCCAATATCGTTCAGATACGGTTCCAATATCGTTCCAATATCGTTCCGATATGGTTCCAATATGGTTCGAATATGGTTCCAATATGGTTCGGATACGGTTCCAATACGGTTCTAATAAGGTTCCAATATGGTTCAAATATGGTTCCAATATGTAGACTGGTTTTCATTTTCTTAGGCTTCGAATTCTATGTATAGTCGAATCTCGTTAATGAACTATGAAAGGGATCCTAAAAACCGTTCACTATTGAGGTTTGATTGGTACTAAATCAACTCAGAGAGATTCTAAAAAATTCGGTTAATATCAAGGTTCGACTGTGGTTTTGCATCTCATATTTCATTTTTCTAAAAATGCAAAATACATGACACAGCCGGGAGTCGAACCCGGATGTTGTGGCTTGTAGAGAAGCGCGCTCTCGACTGCGCCACGGAAACAAATTGACTGGCAGCTTTATAAGCCATAAATTTGAGTTAGCAGGTGAAACAAACTTGGAAATGAAAACAGGAAATTCAACTCCGAAGAGAAGATCTCGTGAAATCTCGAAATCTCTCAAAAACACAGAAAAAAAGATAAGCACCACTTGAAAATACACATAGGCAAATACAAGGGAATGAAGAGAAAGCCGAGTTTTGTGTGTGTGTGTGTGTTTTCCATAATTTCTTTTCTCTCTATCAATCCTTGGGCATGCCCGTGAATGGTGAAGTGAAAGGGAGAGGAATTTGATGGATATTTGCACAGCACATGTCTCGCACACAAAGTTTCTCCATAGAAAATGAAGTCTCTAGTCATTATATGCAAAACTTGGCTACTCAGAGCTGTGGCTGAACTTAGCTGTATAACCAGAGCTGTGACTTCACTTCAACTAATACTAGCCTGGCATTTTGGTTCAAGGACAGTGCTGACCCAAAGCTGAAGTTTGGAATTGTTTCAAGACTAGGAGATTGAACTTAAGAATGGCTTTCTCCAGTTTGGCCAGGACTCTAAATATGCACTCCTTTCCCCCTTGCAATACCCAATAAATTCCACGCAATGAATATGCGATTTGTCTTTTCTTTTCGCTTTTCTCTTTCTTTTTGATGAATGCTGAATTTTGAGAGTATGAATCGACTGAATTCGAAACAAAAAGTATACAAAAAATCTTAGAAAACAGTCGGTTTGAAAATTGAGTTAAAGAAGAACAGTTTTTCAATTCAAATTTCTTCTTTACTATATAGAAATTTTGTTTATTTTAAAGAAAGAAATTTGCATAGTAATTGGCTATCAGAAATTTTAGAAACAAATTAAAGGTTCGAGAAAGAAAGAAAGAAAGAAAGAAAGAAAGAAAGAAAGTAAGTAAGTAAGAAAGAAAGAAAGAAAGAAAGAAAGAAAACAAGAAAGCAAGAAAGCAAGCAAGAAAGAAAGAAAGAAAGAAAGAAAGAAATTGATGAACCGATAGAGAATCTTGTCTATTCAAGTATCTTTAGAATAGATAAGTTTAATAAAGCTATTTAATATTTGGATTTAAAAATCTACTTAATTGTACCTGATTTCAACGTAACTGTAGCGAAAGACGGTTTTTCTTGGAGATTTCTCGGTGAATGACCACGAATTTGCCGAAAATTTGTCACTCGTCGATGAGCTGCATCGTTCTGAATAAAATGACAAGAGTGTTTATTAAAAAATAGATTTACTTTTAAAGACTAAAGATCTAAAGGTTTTCCCTCAAAAATAGCCACTTTCTCCTCACCCAATTGCTCAAATCTCCGTGAAATATCTCAAGGAAATGCTTGGAAAAGGAGAAAAGGTCAAAACACTGAAAAGAAATGAAAATAACATTGTATATTGCGTAAAACTTAAACACTTTTCCACTTTGCCTAAAACTTAAACACTTTATCCAGTTCTAGAGTAAGTTATCTAGTTGTTTCAGTCAAAAATTGTTCTATCAATCGATCTTGTTCTTGACAGTTATTGATTTTAAACGATTTCAAATGACTTAAATGAATTCAGCTTTGGTTTTAAAAGCAATCAGAACTCCTCCACCGTTCTTTTATTCACCACTCATTCACCAAAACATTCAGTATCTATTTTTGAAATCAAAACTATGTTTTGTTCAAAACTTTAAAGAAAACAAGCGTTTTGCTCTTGTTCTTGCTTGTTCAAGAGCTCTTGTTTAACTATTTGTGTCAGTTTTTATCAAATTATGACCATTTTTCCCAACTCACCTTAATGAACGGGTTATCCCTCAGAAAGCCAAAACCCGCATCTCCAGTCATTTCCATTTTAGTGATAAAAGGATTCAAAAGTGTGTCCACACCGATGGAGGAATAAGAGGGCTTCCTCGGGCCGATCGATTTCACTGAAAATTCAATTGATCTGGAAAAATGGAAAGGGTAAATAAAACAAGCAAAATGAGCTGAACCAATGCAATAAAATCGAATCAATTCTGAAAGTAATCGCATCAGAATTGGATAGGGATTGCTTGAATTGAATTACAGCATTGAATTACAGCATTGAAAGAGACAGCATTGAAAGACAATTACAGCATTGAAACAGACTTTATTTATGGTTATTTTGAGAGATATCAAGAATTGAAATTACAATAATGTCTCGATATATTTCCTTGGAATAGATCTTGCACCAAAAAGTTCTTCATGCAAATTCGGATTCATTGATAAACAAATATCAAGACAAAAGTTTGAAATTGAGAGTTTCAAAGGAGGAAATGGATATTGTTGGATTGATCGATTCATTTCAACCACAATAGCTTTAATTTAATGATGTTTTTTTTTGTAAAAAGCTACCGTAAATACTGTAATAGTACCCCATCCCCATGATGATGGTGCGGAGTGTTGCGTAGTCTAGCTTTGAACGAGTTTTTCTCGACACTGGTTTAAGCTACAATGCGCGCTTAGGTATCAAAAAATAGCTGAAATTCAGGGCTATTTTTTGAAAGTACGGGCGCTTTGAAAAAAATGAAATACTAAAAAACTTTTGCGACTACGCGACTGTACGAGAGGGGTGCGGTACTATTACAGTATGACGGTGCGGAGTGTTGCGTAATCTAGCTTTGAACGCGTTTCGTAAATACTGTACTATTACAGTATTTACGGTATGTATTTAGTTTAATTTATTTAAGCTAGCATCATTTTTCCTGTTCTTTACCAGAGAAACGTTTCAAAGACAGTTATAAATGTTAAAGAAAGGATCAAAATTCGCATCGATTCTCACTAAAACCAAATATCGGCAGCTAGATTTAGTAAAATTTTAAAACTGTGAATCTTCTCTGCCGCTTTTCGGGCGTCACTATGCTCAAATCTTTTGGATCAATTTTTCCTTAAATTGGCTTTTCCTTTGGCTTTATTTTTGCTACAAATTTTACATTCTTAAATAATCAAAAGTTTAAATTGATCCTTTACTTCAAGGCAAAGTCCTCTTTTAATAAAACTTCTAAGTCAAGCTGAAATACTCAACGTTATTGCAACCTTGCAAAAGATTTGAGCATAGTGACGCCCAAAAAGCGGCTTATAAAAATTCAAAATTCAAAATTTCAACTTGATAATTCTTATACTATTTGCTCATTCTCTTCTTACCATTTCAAAATGAAATTCTTCAAAACGATTCATCGATACACAAACAAAGATTGCACAAAGATGGGAATTGGAATGAAATGTGATGGAAAAGAAAGTGTTTCAGGCAAGGAATCAGCAATAGACAGTGAATCGGATGGATGACACATCGATGGAAAGGAAAGTTGGGCAGGAAACAATCACAAGACATTCTTAGAGCAACATCAATGGCGTTTTTTGCTGTCAAGATCAAAATGTTAACAAGATTTACAGGAATGGACTGTGTTAACAAGATTTACAGGACTGTGTAGTATAACTTTTATCCAAAGCTGCTTGAAGATAACAAAACTTTAAAAAAAAAAGCTTGTTCTAAGCCCTAAAACAAGCTGAATATTAGATGAGTAAGTCTTAGCGCAAATGTTGACCCATGTGCACTTTTTGGTGTCGGTTTTTGGGGAGAGTGCTTTGCTGGGTGTGAAAGAAGAGATCCCGGGGGAGCTTTCCCAAAGAAATATTGAGCTTTGTGGCTTGCTTCACTGAAAACACGCAAAAAAAGATGTACAGGATGTCCTAAAGAAAACAGAATTAAACTCGGATTTCGAAAAGGTTAAAGTGGTAGGTTCGTTTCCATTTGGAGCATGAGTGATTTGAGTCAAAAATTGGTACTCTATAGCTGTAACTGTACTTTGTGCTTTGCTGGGTGTGAAAGAAGAGATCCCGGGGGAGCTTTCCCAAAGAAATATTGAGCTTTGTGGCTTGCTTCACTGAAAACACGCAAAAAAGATGTACAGGATGTGCCAAAAAAAAACAGAATTCAACTCGAAAAGGTTAAAGTGGTAGTTTTGGTGTGAAAAATTTCGTTTTTAATATTCCAATTATTGCCTAAATCGATTTCTTTTACCTGAGTCGAAGCGATAAAACCAGGAATAGTATTTCTATTTGATTATCCATTGATACAGCTCTTGAAAATCCTATGATCAATTTTTAATGTCAAAATTTTGTTGATCTATTTTCTCAAACTTTTGTACATTTCAAAATTATTCAATTGGCTCGTAAAGCGATAAAAGAAACCGGTTTAAGCAGTAATCCATTCTTGGCAATAAATTCTTGGAAAGGAGAAGAGAGATGAGGGGAAAGATCTGGATCAAATACCATATAGGACCTTGAAGAGAGTTTGGAATAATGGGAATCTACAACAAAGAAGGTAAGAAGGGGAGATCAGACTCCTTTCCTCAAGACATCTTCTCTCTGCAGATTCCTGCTGAGTCTGCAAAGAGAAGATTTCTGGGGGAAAGGAGGAGAAAAGAGAAAAGAAAAGAAGGAGATCATCCTCTCGCTTATGACTCTTTCACCTTACTATTAGCTTGGTTCTATTGGAATAATGGGAATATACAACAAAGAAGGTAAGAAGGGGAGATCAGAGTCTGATCTGAGTCTGATCTCCCCTTCTAAAAGTGTAAACACATCTCCTAGTACACTTAGATGCAAGAGCTTACTGCAATGAGTGCAAAGGTTCGTTTCAATTTTGAGCATGAGTGATTTGAGCTGGTACTGTAGCTGTAAGTGTACTTTTGCTTAGTTAGATGCAAACACAGCCTTTCTGTTGCACTCAATTTATGCTCAATATCAAGTTAAGTGTCAGAGAGTTCAGAAAAGGTTTGTTGTTTTAACTTTTTGAATTCAAAATGCCTCTTATTGGTTTTAGAGTGATCAAACTTTATATGAAAATTATTGAAAACAACAATGGATTTGTTCGTCATATGGATAAAAGAAGTACAGAAATAAGAAAACATTTCTAGAATTACACTGGATTAAGAGTTCGTGCTGAGATCTTACAAAGAAGTGGAGGATGAGTTCCCTCAGAGATCCCCTCTCCTTTTTAGATTCAACCCGCAACAATACCTTCTCTGCCAACCTCTCTTTTTCCTCGTTTCTTGTTCTTTTTCTTAAAAAATCTTCTAACTACAGGTGTTCCGCTGAATTGTGGCTAATTTCTTAAAACAGGTTATCGGCATGGGAACGGGTTAACGGGACTTCTGTTTTTGAATCGTAATAGGAGAAAACTTCACGGAATTGGAAGAGAGAAGTTTCAGATAGGATAAAGAATTTTAATTTTAGAGTACTTATCTCTTTATCTTATCCAAATACTCTCTACACACTGAACAAAATAAACAAACAAGAATGGCGTAACTGTAAAAACCAAAATCACAGCAGACATTCAAAATCTTCTAACTACAGGTGTTCCGATGAATTGTGGCTAATTTCTTAGAACAGGTTATCCTCAGACTTGTGTTTTTGAATTGTAATAGGAGGAATAGAAGAAAACTTCACGGAATTGGAAGAGAGAAGTTTCAGATAAGATAAAGAGATAAATACACACTGAACAAAATAAACAAACAAGAATGGCGTAACTGTAAAAATCAAAATGACAGCAGACATTGTTGGACAGCTCAGGCTAAGAAATTGTAAGCAGAAATTTGAATGGCTAAACCAATCAGGTACACTCGGTATTCAAAAGGCTTACTTTGCACATTACAGAAAAATTCTTTAAAACTGCTTTCAATTCAATTCAACTCACAAGCATCAATTGCAAAGCTAAAGCTTCATAAACTAAAGCTCAACATTGCTAAGAGCATTGCCAAATACAAATGGAGTGTCCAACCCAATTGGACATCAATAGAAATATATGGGAAAGTTCTCACGGATATTCAGAGAGCGCGATCCTCTCCTTACCCCTTCACCCGATCCCTTACTCTCCTTGTTTCCCCCAAAAGTACCCGTTTCCCTCTTTTCTCCCCCATTTTTCCCTTGAAACGATCCTGTCTAAACTCTTTTGTTTCCCCTTTTCTTGTGGAAAGATTGCCACTTGAGGCAACGAATTAGTGGATGTGAAATGGAGAGATTCAAAGAGGAGAATTGAAAGCAAGATTTGTAAGAAATGTTTGGATGAAAAGGGAGCAAATTTATAAAATGGATAGATTTGATCAAACCATAAGGAATTATTGGGTAAAAGGAAGTTAAAAGGTAAAAGGAAGCTAAAAGATAAAAGGAAGCTAAAAGGTAAAAGGAAGGTAAAAGGAAGGAAAGCTTGTCAAATAAAAAAAAAAGCTGGATAAGCTTATAGTAATCCAAAGCTAGCTATTAGTTAAAACTTGCCAAAACAAAGTACAAAGAAGATATCGAAAAGTGCGTTGAGTTGAACGGGGGTGTGAACTTGAGAGAAAGAGATGAGTTTGGACAAATATTTGTACCGGTTGGATCTCTCACTTGAATCAAGTGAAGCTCTTCAGTGGAACAAAAGGAATACCCTGTTCTGAAGTTGAAAAATTTCAAGAATAAAGGAAAGGTAGATTGTTGAGAAAACTTATAATTCGGAAACAAAAGGTTTATAAAAGTTGTCATTTTAATCAGCTGGATAGAGTTTAGAAAATATTGAGATGAGAGTATGTAGAAAATGTTCTTGTTTAAGGTATTTGGCATAAATTCAGAATCCTAACATTCTTTCATCAGTTTAGAGATTAAATTCGATAGATAAGTTCTGGAAAGTAGAAAAAACAAATATTTTATTGTGTCTAACTTGGGTAAGATCATGCTTGAAACTAAAATGAATGCTAAACAAAACAAAACAAAACAAACGAAATCCCAAATGCTAAAGTGCAAATAATCAGCTGAAGGGGGAGAAAAGAAGAAAAGAAAATAGAAAAGGAAGAAAG